TAGGGAGTAGATAATTAGATTAATGTATTCTAAGAAGGGGTGAGAAAAAGATTTGCCATAACAGATGCTGTATGTGACCACCCATACTGAGAATGACTGCTTGATTTTTACTGAGAGGCAACCTAGATCAAGAGGAAGATCATGGGCATCAGAGCCAGACACACCACATTCGCCACTTAAAAAAAGTCTTGCTGAGCCTCAGTTTCCTAATCTGTGAAGTGGGGATGATGATAACAGCTTGGCAGCATGGCTGTAAGGATTAGAGACAATATGTGCAAAACCCTTTCATGTAATACGTGTTCAATAGAAGGAAGCCATTATTACATTAGTTTTATTAAATTGGAGTGGAGACTCCTGGTGGAACAATTCAGGCTCCTTTACCTGATCCATATAGTGGCATTTATTGTTCCATTGGTCTGTGCTGGGCTCTAGCTGTATACTGTGGGAGGACGACATACAACTCAGAGAATGTGAAAGTAGGCCCTGATGTCTTTCCTTGGTTCTGTGTTTTTCCACAGCTCTAGGCATGGTCATAATCAACGTGTATATTCATCTTTCAGCTCTCTGTCTCACCTCCTCCCTCCCAGGCAAATACAAGAGCATCTAAACATTGTTCCAAGGAGCCCTGGTGGCGCAACAGTTAAGCGCTGCACTGCTAACCGAATGCTTTGCAATTCAAAGCCACCCCGTGTGTCTGCGGGAAAAAGACCTGGTGATCCGCTCCCTTAAAGATTACAGCCTAAAAAACCCTACTCTGTCACATGGGGTCGCCATGGGTCAGCATCAACTGGATGGCACCCAACAATAACATCACAGCGTTGTTCTTTGCCTTCAGGAGCCTGGGGAATTCAGAGGACAGGGGTACCAGTCCTAGAATATAAATTCCACAGGGGCAAGGGCCTTGTCTAGAATGATCACTGCTGTATCCCCAACAGTTAGAAGAGGTGTGTGTCAATCTTTGCTGTTTAAATAAGTTATAAATCCTCTGAGACTGTTTGTTACACGTCTAAGGCAGGCTTTTGCAGCCTCAGCACTACTGACATTTTGGACTGGATAATTCTTTGGTGTGGGGGGCTGTCCTATGCACTATAGAATGTTTACTAGCATCCCTGGCCTCTACTCTGCCAGCACTCTGCCAGTAGCATCCCTCCAGTTGTGATAGCAAAAAAATGTCCCTAGACATTGCTAAGTGTCCCCTGGGGGGCACCATCACCCCCCAGGTCTGCAGAGAGAGGGTTTTGGGGGTTAGGGTACTGTGGCCAGGTTTAGGTTTGTAATATGAGTAAAGTAAAATGATTCTTTGAAGATACGAGAATGTTCTGTTTTATATATATGATACCAGTACCAGTGTTTTCTTTCACTGAAGTCAGTTAACAAACATTTACCTTACAGTTGCTGCAAGTATCTGTCAGAGTAACGGGAAAGAGGGTGAGGTCCCACGGCTGCCCCAGCTGCAGCTTTGCCACCAGCCAGCCTGCACTGCTACTTTAAGAAAGAGTCTCAGTAGATGGTTCAACTTTGAATCAGCAAGTCCAGTACAAACTGACCTGTTTACAAGGCAGATAATTAAAAAAAAAAAAAAAGTCTTGGCTTGTCTGCCCTTTTAAAATTGATGGCTGCTGATGTAGCTCACATTTGTTTGTTAAGTCTGAGTTCAGGGACGAGGTTTGGGCGTATCGGTGTTTTTCAGTCATTGTTGGAATCGATTTGGCTGACAGAGGAAGGCCATACCCTCCGTACTCTGCCCAAGCCAACCACTGGCCATCATCAGTAGTTCTGATGGTGTTGATGTGTTACTTTGAAACCTGCACATTCAAAAAACCATCTAGAAGCTGGAAGGAACCTTTAAGGTCACAGAGTCCAGCCTCCTCCATTAAGAAATGAGGAAACTGAGTTTCCATGGGACCCAACATATTTCCTTTCAACCCCCAAGGCATCAGCATCATAAGGTGTTACTCCACCAAAATGAAGCTGTTCTCGGGAGTTATCCTGTCATTGGGAAGACCATATGGATTGTTTCCTCTAAGAAAGTCGTATGGACACAATTATGTATTAAAAATGGGATTCACCAAGATGGTGGCTGTGATGAGAACAACGCACCAGCAGTCAAGTGTATATATGACTTGACTAGGAGCTCAGCGGTGAGAGGTGAAGAGCAGGACCTCTCAGCCAGGTCGTCTGTGTTTAAATCACACTTCTGTGGCTTTGGGCAAGTTACCAAACCACTCTTAGCCCCAGCTTGCTCACCTGTAAAGTGGTGAAAAATAATATTAATAGCTGCCTAGGTCAAGTTGCAAACATTCGATGCTGTAATAGAGGCAAATGTTTAGCCCACTAGCAAGTGTTCAAAACATACATATTAGCTCTTGATGTTGTTGTCATATGCTAATAACCAATTCCTAGTTGTTTTATCATAGAGCTGTTCTTGGGCTCTGGAAACTAGATTTCTTCAAAAAACTTGAACAGTAGAACTAAGGGAAACTAAATGACTTTGTACGATTGTCTTCTGCGCTAGAAAATGAGTAAAAGACCAGTGTACGGAGCCTGAGGCAATAAAAAAGGGCAAATGTTTATCAATGATTTTTTTTTTCTGAGTTAAATGGTATTATCTTCTTATTGTATTTGGTTAAACCAGCATAGTGCTGTGTGAGGTAAATATTCAAATTATACCCTGAAGTGAATGAAGCTTAAAGCATTAGTTTACAACTGAAATACACAGCTTTAAAAATGAAAAAAAAAAGCAAAGTACATTTTCTCACTTTGTTCTCTAAACCCCTAGGGCTAGGGAAGGGGCCCTATAAATGCTCTCCTATGTGCTTTGGAGGGCTCCAGAGATGGATTTATTGAGCACATTTTCGCCGAGAGACCAGATAAACTTTTCAAAGGAAGAAAAGCTAGTATTGAAGGAGATCAATTAAAAACAGTAGATATTTTTCCTGTGAAACTCTATTCAGAAAAAAAAATTTTTTAGTTCTTTTCTCCATCTTTATATTTTAAGCAAAAAAAGGCACAAAATTGCACAAAATAGCAAATTAATATTTATCCCAGTCAATACTTAAGTAACCGAAAGCCCAGTCGGTCATATAGACAGATGCCTTTCCTCACGGTCCAGGCCCTGTCATTAGCAAAGGTGTGGATTGAATGCCTCACTCTTAACTATACTGTTCAACCTAGTTATTTTAGGCTTCAAGTCTGGCAACAAAATACAATCATGGTGGTTATTATGGATTTGCTTTTTTAAAAAAAAAGTTAAGCAAATTTGTAAACAACTAGAGAAGAGTTGTAAACCCAGTGCTTTAAATTAGATTCATCAGACTTGACCTGCCCTGTGGGGGATCCCTTGTTTGCACCCAGACTAGTCCATAGTTGTGCTTCCTTAGTGACTGCCAAAGGTCACTGTGTTTAAAAAAAAAACATTGCCGTTGAGTCGATTCCAACTCATAGCAACCCTAGAGGACAAAGTAGAACTGCCACGTAGGGTTTCCAAGGCTGTAAATCTTTACAAAGCAGACTGCCACATCTCTCTTCTGCTGAGCCGCTGGTGGGTTCAAACCGTCCACCTTTTGGTTTGCAGCTGAGTGCTTAACCCACTGCGCCACCAGGGCTCCTCTCCATAAAGATTACAGCCTAGAAAATCTTATGGCGGCAGTTCTACTCTGTTCTACAGGGTCGCTATGAGTTGGAATGGACTCCACGGCAACTGGTTTGGTTTGTTTTTTTTTTAGTGACGTCCACACAATGGAGCTATATTCAGAAATGCATTTTTAATATTCAGTTCAACACTTAGGAGGGTTCAGTGGTACATAGCTCAGGAATGAATGTAGCTTGTAGAGCCCTGCCACTCTGCCCCATGCCTGCCCTCACCCACACCGGTGCATGGCCCTTTGCTGGGCCTTCCTCTCTACTTCCAACACATGTGAGTTTTGTGCACATCTCTAGTGTGCAACATCTTAAATACTGTCCAGCAAATGTCTTGAGGGTCTCTGGGGACTGTGCCTCTGGCGGTAGTGGCTGGTGTGGATTTCAGATTCTAGAAGGTCAGCTGTGAGCCAGTGTCCTTGATTCTCTCAACAAGCCTCTTATTTCACCTAGCCATTGGAGCATTATTTGTGTGGTGGATTATAATCTTAGGCCTGATGTAACTGGACCCCAATGTTTTTTAGCAGGAGCTGCTAATTCAGTACTGGGAGAAAGAAAAGGGGACGGGAATTGGAAGTCTTAACTGCTAAGGATTAATGTAAAAGCACAGAATTTTACCCCCATTCCCAGGAAATGGTAAAGCCATTTCTATTGCATGGTTTTTTCTGGTGAATAAACCTGTAGTATGTTGCCATCTAGTGGAACATAGAGCAAAGTAAAGATTAAGGTATTCTGACCACAAGGTTCAGTAGAGCTAATTAAATCAGCTGGAGAAAATTACTGAAAGCATTTCTAAGGCAGGTGTTTTGGAAACGTGTGTGAATTCAGATGAAGTAAAGTCGACTTTAGTAATAATGTTTTCTTAAAGTAAACAAAAGGCCACTCTATTTCTCAAGGGCTCGTGGATGTTTACCGACAGGAAAGTAAAAGTAGATGGTCCCTTGGTTTTTTTCAAACGTATAACCAGGTCAGGACACTGAGTTTTCATTGTCATCTGTACTAAAGGGACAGTTTCTTATTTAAAGTCCTAGGCAGAGTGCTTGGTTATTACAAGATTATTTTAGTATGTTATAAAATGTGATTTTAAGGTTTCCAATACCTATGTTACATTCTTTTCCTTTTTTTTTTTTTTTTTTTTGATTAAATTCCCACAGAATAAATATACCTGTTTTTAAAAGAAGCAAAGATACTTCACAAAGTTAGGAATTTCACATTTTAAATTCTAAATAGCACCTTAGAAGTGTCCAGTTCCATGATCTTAGACTTGGTTTTTATTAAGACCTCCAAAATTATATTGAGGAATATTTTGTCCACATTGCCTACTCATTGTTGTATTTGTTCTTTTGCTTACGTTTGCTTAGATCACTCCCTGGTGCCACAGCAGCTGAGTGTGCATCAAATCTGAAGAAAATCTACACGGTGCAAACAGTACAGGTAAGATTAAGAAAAGCAGTATGCTGGGTTAACATGGTACGTGTTGGACACTTAATCATGCAGCTTAAAAACTGCCACTGTGCTTCTGGCTCGTGCCCCAGATTCTGCTCAGGCGTTGGCTCCCAGCTTCATTATGGCCAGCTGCCTTCCATGAAGTCCACCCCAGCGGCCAGCCAGGCACACCTGCTAAGCTTTTACCCACCACCTAAACCTCTTGTAGACCCACAGGAGAAGCAGACTATGGGGGTGGTTAAGAACGAAGGTTTTGAGACATCTATCAGTATCCTTGTTCAAACTCCAGCTGTGCCACTCCGTCTCTGGGCCTCAGTTTCCCATCTGTGAGAGGCAGTGGCACTGACCCGACAGGGTTATTGAAGGTTAAGGATCACGTAGGGAGAGCAGGATAGTGTTGAGCACAAAAACAGAGGGTTTCAGCCCAGTGTCCTACTTCATGTTCCACTTCCATCATCCTAAGCTGAACAAGTATCAATCACTGTAATTTCTATAAAGTTGGTATAGTAATAGCACCTGCCTCCATGAGTTGCTGTGAGGATTGAATAGGATAATGTTTAGCTTATTGATAACACTTAGCAATATGCTTAATACATAGCATATTGTCAAATATAAGCTCTTAGTTCTATTAGTTCTTTCTCTGCAACTCTTAGAGTGAAAATTAAAAAATAACTGATCTATTTAGTTGATCACATTTGTGTTTTCTTTAAAAGCAAATTCAATCAAATTTATCCCCTCTTCCACTTAAATACTTTGTTACAGAAGGAATAAGGCTTTGGGAGTTGTTTCCTAGTTGCATTAACCATATTTCCTGAATTTTCTAGAAGGGCAAGATATCAAATAGTTTTCCTGTTGTGCCCCTAAATCCTTAAATGTCTTAGAAATTCCAGTGGATTGACATCTAGATCATGTGTTGTAGGCAGCCTCTCACATGCAGTAGTACAAAAATCCTTTTTCAGACTGTGGCCCTAATACTTGGTTCAGAAAATTCGGTGTTTCATAGTTATGCATCCCAGGAATCTGATTTTAAACATTTGTAAGGTGCTATGCATGGCTCTTGAGGGCAGTAAACCAGTGTAAAGACAGTCACCACCACAGGACTTTTCTGATTTAGTTGGGAGAATGACATAAATATGTGGAAAGCAAAATAACAGTGCAGTTATGAATAACCATTCAGTGCCCAAGTACAAGCTGTGCCACAAGGCAGTGCGTGGGCCACTGCCCGGAGAGACGAGTGTTCTCAGAGTCTGGGAACACTCCCTCTTGTGCCTCTTTTGTGACTTTAAGGACTTTTGTAACCTCTTCCCAGCAGTCATTTTACAGACCTTAGAGTGCTTGATTTTAAGGTCTGCCCTCATGTGAAAGCTCTTAGATCCTATTGATGTTTTGAGGTACCCATTAGCCTTTCTGCCTTGTAATGACCCTGTTCACCACAGAGGATCATCAGAGCTGTGCGTGGAGGCCAGGGAAGACTCTGGTAAAGGCAGATTAAGGGGTTGGTTTGGTTTCCCTGACACTCCATGATAATGCAGAGCATTTGGTTTAGCCTTTGGATCCAGCATCACACTAGACGGCCTTCGGGGACCAATTTAAAGTACCCAGGTTGGCACATACTAGAAGATCCTTTTTTTTTTTAACAAGTATACTTTATTGTGGTATAATTTATATACAGTCAATGCAGATTTCCTAAGTGTATCGTTTGATAAAAATTGACTAATGGATACACCCATGTAACCATCGCCCGATCAAGATAAAAAACATTTCCATCTCCCCAGAAAGTTCCCTCATACCCCTTTCCCATCAGTCCGCCTCCTTTTGAAGCAACGCTTGTTCTGATTTATGCACCATGGGTTAGTTTTGTGTATTATTTGACTTCCTATAAGTAGAGTCGCACCATACTAAGCTCTTTTGTGTTTGGTTCCCTTCACTCAGTAAGTATCGAAGAAGTGAATGGATGAACGAGGAGTTCAGAAATCAGCCCCTTTCCTGGGTCACAGCAGACTGCTTGCCTCATGCATTGTCAGCGGGGGTGCAGATTGGTTCTCAGTAGGGCAAAAAAGATCTTATTCTTTGTATAAAGTGTAAACATACAGTACAGTACATAAACAGATACACAGTGTCTCACTGATATTAAAATTTCATGGGGGATGATTAGGAAAGAAAGTCTAAAAAGACTCCTTTGGGGCTGGGCGGAGGGCACGATAATGACAAAAGATTGAGAAGCACTGGTCTGAGTGACGAGGAAGCCTTCCTGCCTCTGATGTCGCTGTCCTCCTCAGTTTCCTCATTTGTAAAATTGAGAGAATAATGGTGACTACTTCCTAAGACTGACCAGTTACCAGTCACTGTCGAGCTACCCCATGTGTGTCAGAGTAGAATAGTGCTCCATAGGCTTTCAGTGGCTGAGTTTTCGGAAGTCAATTGCCAGGTCTTTCTTCAAAGGCACCTTTGGGTGAACTCGAACTGCCAGTCTTTTGGTTAGCAGCTGAGCGTGTTAACTATTTGTACCACCCAGGGTTGAAGGGAGGATTAAATGAGACCGTACATAGTTCTTAGTAGCACTTGCCACTTAATAAGCACTCAAATGTTGGCAGCTTTCAGTGAAGTGGTGGATTCTACCCTTTGGCCTCATCAGTTGACTGGCCAGGGTGTGGACTTTGGGGTAGTCACATTGCTTGGGTTTGTTTGTCTCCCCTATATGCCACTTACCAGCTTGGGCAAGTTATTCAGCCTCTCTATATGTCAATTTACTCATCTATAAAATGGGGATCATCATGAGACTGATTTTATCGTGGTGTTGTGAGAATGAAATGGGGCCATGAAGTAAAAAGCACATGGGCAGTGCCCAGAAATAATAATAAGCTCCTCTGCCCTCATTGCCTGCTTCTGTTGGGGCATCTTTTTGTACTTTCCTCAGTCACACTTTATATCAGAGAACTGTAGACCACTGCTTCTAGGCTCTTTATTCCAAGCAGTTATACCTGGGATTACACCACTGCTTGCCTCTCTACTATAGGGTTGGAACTGACTCAACGGCAACAGGTTTTAACACCTCTACCTACGAAAGCCTATTTAACTTATCAGTAACTTATGGGATTTCAGCCTCTGAAGATCCTTAATATCTTGTGGATACTCCCTAGTTATCTGAAAACTAACCTGAACACCAGTTTTAAAGTTATTGGAAGACCTGCTTGCTTTCTTCCACTGTCTTCTTATTCTGTAATGATACGCACTAAAAACAGACACAAAACGAAAAGCTGTCTTCCTAATCATGTCTGTATTTTCTTCCCCCGCATGTTTGGATGAAGTGTAAGAATCCGTGTTATTAATGATAGCTTTAGATAAAGACATAAAGTGGTTTTTTATACTTTCAGGCTCTTTGGCAAGTTGGAGACATTGTTGGGGGGTGAGGGAGGAATTGCTGGCCCTATTTTATTAGCTGGGGAAACTGCGGCTGAGAGGTTTCCATCCAGTGCAGACAGCCCATCATGCCATGTCTCTGGGTCTGGAACTTTCTCCCCACTTCCAGTTCAGTCGTCTTTCTTTCACTTCACCCTGACTGAGAAGAGGAGGTGCATGCTTCCACATGACCCGGTGACCCCTGCCAAGGACACTCTCATCTCGGCCAGCAATCATTCTTTCTGCTTGAAATTAAATTCATTTCCTAGTTTCTTGCCTTTCTTGGAAAATTCCGTTTTTCATCTTGGTTTGTTTTCTAAATGTTTATTGGTTTCCTTTTAGTCTTTTGTAAACGTTTGCAAATTTTCCACATTTTTCCCGTGTTTTTGCATCCTAATGGATGCAGTACAGAATAGAACATGGCTTCTGAACGAGCCTGATGTTACCTGAGAGAAGATGTAGAGCTACGAGCACGTGTGATTTGCAAGGGAAAGCTCCCTCGCCCCCAGTACCTTTCAGCCATGCCTGCCACAAGACTAAAAATTCCACTCTTCAAAGCTCATTTCTGCGCAGCATTCTGTCCCAAGCCACGTTACTCATGTTATCACCCTCAAGTTTTCCCCACACTGTGTCCCACTTGGACTGTGTTCTACCCAGCATTTTCCATAAATTGACTGACTTTTCGCTTAAATTTACTTGAAACCAAACTTTGTGTTTCTTCTGCAAATGGAAATCTGGTATCGTTTGTCATAAACGAAAGGTATTCAGGAAAATATAGACAAACTATTAAAAAAAATTAACAGAATGTTCCCCTATACTTGCTAAAATCATGTGCACTCTGTCTATGATACCAAGGCATCATCCCTTATCAAAAGGTGAAGCTGCCCGATTGTGGAGTTTGTGCTGTTCTAGGTCATTCAGTTAGGGCATCAGATTACCTTCCAAATCCATGGGATATGACAGCTGTTTGTTCCCCCCCACCCCCCAGAGGGAAAGGTATTGTAGGTCAGTATTGATAATGGAGGGGAGCAGTGGTGGTTCAGTGGTAGAATTCTGGCCTTGCATGCAGGAGACCTGGTCCAGTTCTTAGCCAGTGCACCTCAAGCACAGCCACAACCTATCTGTCAGCGGAGACTGGCATGTTGCTATGATGCTGAACAGGTTTCAGCAGAGATTCTAGACTAAGACAGACTGGGGAGAAAGGCCTGGCGATCTACTTCCAAAAATCAGCCAAAGAAAACCCAGTGGATCACAACAGTTCAATCCCATTGTGCGTGGGTTCACCATGAGTCGGGGGCGACTCCATGGCAGCTAACAGCAATACTGATAACGTAGTTTGGTGGAAAGATCCTGTGGGGGGAATGCAAGATTTAATCTTTCAAATGAAAAATTATTTAGTTACTTCAAATGTAACACTTGGTCTTTTCCCATTTAAGTCTCTTGCAGGGAAAATGGTTGGTCTCTTCCCCTTCTCCAAAGGAGCTGGCGCATGCAAAAATACACAGGTCCCACCTGGCCTTTGGCATTGGGCCCACCATCCATGGCCCTGCAGGTCATGAAGGCCCCTACTCTGGATACCTACATTCAGA